CAATTCCGAAGGTGGCGCTGAAATGATGCACTGGCATAATTACAGCAGCGATGCGAAATGAGACCACATTTCATCCAGGGGGCCAAGCTACTACGGCAGGGCGAATCGCTGCTGCTTTTACCTTACCCTTATGGGAGTGTTATCAGCTCGGTGGGTCAGGAGAAGCTCTACTACAAACACTCAAATACGCCGCACTTTAAGCAGTTCTGGTAAAAGCTGCAAAAAGTAATGCTTTTCAAGACTAGTACAATTGAGAACTTTGGGTACCACTAGAAGAACTTCGGAACTTTTCTCTGCTAGCAAGGAATATACAATCACTGGTGGATGTTAACATGCAAATTACAGTTTGGAATGGTCTCATCACAAAAAAAAAAAAAAAAAGATCTAAGACTCAACTGTTGAATAAAACAGGGAAGTGTGGTGAAACGACTGAAAATCGTTACTCCGTCAGAGACAGAAGAAGCAAAAAGCTCAGCTAATGCAGCACGAAATGAAATTTACCTCGAACATCAATGTCACAAGCGCCATTGGAGTTCTTGACGAAGCCTTCTTCACATGTACAATCGTACGAGCCTTCCGTATTGATGCACTTTGAATGCTCACCGCCGCATCGTCCCTCCTCAAGACATTCGTCCACATCTGATAAAACAGTCCCACTCAAACTCATCACAAATTAAGCTGAAAGCATCAACGCTGCTACACCAATCCGATCATTTTTCGAACAGAGTAAGCAAGGAACAAACGAGGACTGTTCTGGGATTTCCAGACCTTCACATTCATGGCTGTCGTTCATCAGCCAACCAGCACTGCAATCTTTGCAGTTCTTCGGCCCATCACCGGAGCAACCACCACGACACGACTCATGACATGCTGAAAGCACATGCCATTTAAAATTAGATATGGCGGAATAACAAGCTAAGTCCCATTCCAGAAATTTTCCACTTCCATCGTGCCACCAAATTGCAACTCTAATACATAAACATGTATAAAATATGTATGTTATATAATATATACACATATATTATTTCGAAAACACATTCATAT